ACATTATAAGAACTTTTTTTTAATAAATTGCCGAATCTGAAGCAATCTACCAATTTTAAAATTCGTTTTGTGGAGTTGAGAATTTTCCTTTCCTGTTACAAAGCGTGTTCGTATCCCATATTGTCCTTGGTCAGGATTCTGTCTCACCAGGCGGCGGGTTCGACTCCCGGCATGGAAGTATATTTTTTTCTGATGCACGTTGCAAGCATTTCATCGATGGAAACGCTGTTAAACAAACGTCCTTACCGTACAAGAACTTTTTTTAATAAATTGCCGAATCTTAATCAGTCTACCGATTTTAGAATACGATGTGTAGGAATGAAATTTTTCCTTTCCTGTTTCAAAGCGTGTTTGTATCCCATGTGGTCTAGCGGTCAGGATTCCTGGCTCTCACAGGCGGCGGGTTCGACTCCCGGCGTGGGAACTAAATTTTTTCTAATGCGTGTTCCATTCGTTTCAACGCTGAAAACGCTGTTAAACAAACGTCGATGGTGTACAAGACCTTTTTTTTAATAAATTGCCGAATCTTAAGTAGTCTACCGATTTTAGAATACGATGTGTAGAAATGAAATTTTCCTCTCCTGTTTCAACGCGTGTTTGTATCCCATGTGGTCCCCGCGGTCAGGATTTCCTGGCTCCTCACCAGAGCAGCCAGGTTCGACTCCGGAAGGGAAGTAAATTTTTAGTACGTTACAAGCATTTCATCGATGGAAGCAGCACATTAAACAAACGTCCTTACCGTACAAGAACTTTTTTTAATAAATTGCCGAATCTTAAGCAGTCTACTGATTTTACAATTCGTTTTGTAGTTTTGGGAATTTCAACCTGTATTTCGTCGGGTTTTGTATCCCATGTAGTTGGTGAGGATGCTTCGCTCCTCACCCCAGCAGACCCAGGTACTCCCGGCATGGAGTAAATTTTTTTCTAATGCGTTGCAAGCGTTCAACGTTGGAAACGCTGCTAAACAACCATGACGGGGGCTGAACCTTTCTTTTTTATAAATTGCCAGATCTTAAACAGCAGTCTACTGATTTTACAATTCGTTTTTTGTAGAGTTGAGAATTTCCATTCCTGTTACAAAGCTTGTTTGTGTCCCCATGTGGTCTAGCGGTCAGGATTCACAGCTCTACCGACGGCCCGGGTTCGACTCAGCGTGGGAACTAAATTTTTTTCAATGCATTGTTCCATTCGTTTCAACGCTGAAAACGCTGTTAAACAAACGTCCATAACGTATAAGAACTTTTTTTTAATAAATTGCCGAATCTGAAACAATCTACCAATTTTAAAATTCGTTTTGTGAGTTGAGAATTTTCCTTTCCTGTTACAAGCATGCGCTTATCCCATATGGTCCTAGCGGTCCATTCCTGGCTCTCACCAGAGCGGCGGGTTCGACTCCGGCGTGGGAAGTAAATTTTTTCTATTACGTTGCAGAAGCGTTTCAACGTTGGAAACGCTGCTAAACAACCATGACAGGGTACAAGACCTTTCTTTTTTTATAGGTGCCGAATCTTAAGCAGTCTACTGATTTTACAATTCGTTTTGTGGGGTTGAAATTTCCATTCCTTTTACCATCGGGTTTGTGTCCGATGTGGTCCAGCGGTCAGGATTCCTGGCTCTCACCCAGGCGGCCCGGGTTCGACTCCCGGCATGGGAAGTATATTTTTTTCTGATGCACGTTGCAGAAGCATTTCATCGATCGACATTGGCTCAACGTCCTTACCATTACAGAACTTTTAATAAATTGCCGAATCTTAATCAGTCTACCGATTTTAGAATACGATGTGTAGGAATGAAATTTTTCGCTCCTGTAAAGCGTGTTTGTATCCCATCCTGGTCTAGCGGTCAAGTTCTGGCTCTCACCCAGGCGGCGGGTTCGACTCGGCGTGGGAACTAAATTTTTCTAATGCGTGTTCCATTCGTTTCAACGCTGAAAACGCTGTTAAACAAACGATCGATGAGATTCTTTAAGACCTTTTTTTTTAATAAATTGCCGAATCTTAAGTAGTCTACCGATTTTAGAATACGATGTGTAGAAATGAAATTTTTCCTCTCCTGTTTCAACGCGTGTTTGTATCCCATGTGGTCTAGCGGTCAGGATTTCCTGGCTCTCACCCAGGCGGCCCGGGTTCGACTCCCGGAAAGGGAAGTAAATTTTATTCTGATGCACGTTGCAAGCATTTCATCGATGGAAACGCTGTTAAACAAACGTCCTTACCGTACAAGAACTTTTTTTAATAAATTGCCGAATCTTAAGCAGTCTACTGATTTTACAATTCGTTTTGTAGTTTTGGGAATTTCCATACCTGTAACAAACCGGGTTTGTATCCCATGTGGTTAGCGGTGAGGATGCTTCGCTCTCTGGCAGACTGAGTACTCCCGGCATGGGAAATGCATTTTTTCTAATGCGTTACAAACGTTTCAACGTTGGAAACGCTTCTTCAAACAACCACTGACGGGGTACATAGACCTTTCTTTTATAAATTGCGAATATTAAGCAGTCTACCTGATTTTTACAATCTGTTTTGTAGAGTTGAAGAATTTCCATTCCTGTTACAAAGCTTGTTTGTGTCCCATGTGGTCTAGCGGTCAGGATTCCTGGCTCTCACCCAGGCGGCCCGGGTTACTCCGGCGTGGAACTAATTTTTCTAATGCGTGTTCCATCTGTTTCAACGCTGAAAACGCTGTTAAACAAACGTCCATAGCGTAAAGTGAACTTTTTAATAAATGTCACTGATATCTGAAGCAATCTACCAACATTTTAAAATTCGTTTTTTAGGGAGAATTTTCCTTTTCCTGTTCAGCGTGCACTTATCCTTCATATGGTCTAGTCGTCAAGGATTCTGGCCTGCTCCGCAGGCGGCCCGAGGTTCACTCCCGGCGTGGAAGTAAATTCTTTCAATGCATACGTGCAAAACGTTTAACGTGGAAACGCTGCTAAACAACGCTTTCTGAGGTTTACAAGACTTTCTTTTACGATAAATTGCTCGAATCTTAAGCAGTCTATGATTTGGTACAATTGCTTTTGTAGAGATTAGAATTTCCATTCCCTTTTACAAAGTAGGTCTGTGTCCGATGTGGTCAAGGGTCAGGATTCTGGCTCCACCCAAGCGGCCTGCAGGTTCGACCCCCGATGGAAAGAATAAATTTTTCAATAGTCGTTCATCAGCGTTTCCAACGTGAAACGCTGTTAAACTAACCGCTGATTTCGGGGATTAAGAACCTTTCATTTATAAATAATGCGAATGTAAGCAGTCTAACATTTCTACAATCGTTTTGCATTGAATTTCCATTCCTGTGTACAAAGATGTGTCCCATGTGTGGTCTATGCGTCAAGTTCCTGAAAACTCTCACCCAGGCGGCCCAATTCGCTCCGGCGTGGAACTAATTTTTTTCTATGCTGTTCCATCTCTTAAACTATGAAAGCCTGTTAAACAAACGCTGCGGTTGCAAGAACTTTTTAAAATAAATGCTCGAATCGACAGATCTACCAATTTTACAATGTAGAGTTGAGATTTAGAGGTTATTTTTACATCGTTACAACCGGGCTTTTGGCTCCCATGTGGTGAAACGGATTCCAGGTCTTCAGTCTCCGAACGGCCGGTTCGACCCCGGCATGAAGCATAATTTTCTTCAATGGAATGCAGTGCATATTTCAACGATGTAAAACGCTGCTATACACAAACTGCACATGGGTGCAAGACCTTTTATATTAATCTTGCAGTCTACCGATATTGAACAATCTTTTAGATTAAATATCTTTTGCAGTTGAGAATTTTTTTCTAGCTGTCCCATGTGGTCTAGCGGTCAGGATTCCTGGTTCTCGCCCAGGCGGCTGGGATTCTGTCCGGCAACTAATTGTTTCTAACTGCGGTTGCATGCTGTTTCATTAGAGAAACTTGCTAAATACATTCCACTAGAGGGTAAGACTTTTTTTAATAAATTGCTAATCTTAAGTCAATCCACCGACCTTTGAATTCGTTTTTGTAGTATTGAGGAATTTCCATTCCTTTTACAAAGCCTGTATTTGTAGTCCCATATGGATCTAGCGTCCAGATTCCTGGCTCTCACCCAGGCGACCTTCGGGTTGGACTCCTGCTGTGGAGAATGACAAATTTTTCTACTGCGTGTTCCATTCGTTCTCAACGCTGAAAACGCTGTTAAACAAACTCATACGTAAGTTACTTTTTTTTAATAAATTGCTGGAATCTTGAAGCATCACCACATTTTTAAATTCGATTTGTGAAAGATAATTTTCCTTTCCTGTTTACAAAGAGGTTTGATCCAATGTGGCTCTAGGCGTTCCGGTAAATATCACCCAGGCGTCCGTTCGACTCCCTGGCTGTGGGAACTAAATTTTTTTTCTAGATGCAGTTTCCATTGTCATCAGTAAAACGCTGGCTAAACAAACGTCCATAGTACACTCTTGACAAAACTAATAAATAGTCGAATCTTAAGCACGTCACCAATTTTAAGAATCTGATGTTGGTGAGTGGGAATTTTCCATTCCTTTACAAATTGGTCCAGTGGTGACTTACGGTCCAGGATTCCATAGCTCTCACCCAGAGCGGCCCGGGTTCGACTCCCGGCGTGAACTAAAATTTTCTAATGTAGTGTTCCATTCGTTTCAACATAAAACGCTGTTAAACAAACGTCCATGAGCGTACAAGACACTTTTTTAATAAATTGCCGATTCTGAGCAGATCTACAATTTTAAAAATTCGTTTTGTGGTTGAGAATTTTCCTTTCCTGTTCAACAGTGTCGTATCCATGTGGTCTAGCGGTCAGTTCCTGGCTTCACCCAGGCGGCGGGTTCGACCCTAATGGGACTAAGTTTTCTTCTAATGCCTGTCATAAGCGTTTCAACGCTAATTATGTCTTAAAACCGTCGATGTGTGACAAGACATTTTTTTAATAAATTGCCGACTTAAGCAGTCTACCGAATTTAGAATACATGTGTGAAAATGAAAATTTTGCTTTCCTGTTTCAAAGCGTGTCTTATGTCCAGCAATGGTCTAGCGGTCAGGATTCCTGGCATCTCACCAGGCGACCGGGTTTCGACTCCCGGCTGGGAACTAAATTTTTTCTAATCGTGTTCCATTCGTTTCAACGCGAAAACGCTGTTAACAACATCCACAAGCAGCAAGAACTTTTTTTAATAAATTGCAGAATCTGTAATCATCTACCTTTAAATCGTGTGTGAATGAGAATTTTCCTTTCCTGTTCAAATCGTGTTGTATCCCATGTGGTCTAGCAGTCAGGATTCTGGCTCTCACCCAGGCAGGGTTCGACTCCCGGCAGAGGGAACTAATTTTTTTCTAATGCGTGTATTCGTTTCAACGCTATGAAAATCTGTTAAACAAACGTCCATAAGTACTAAGAACTTTTTTTAAAAATTGCACTAATCTGAAGCAATCTACCAATTTTAAAATTCTTTTAGTAGAGGTTAGAATTTTCCTCCTGTTAAAAAAGCATTTCTATCCCATGTGGTCCTAGCGGTCAAGTTCTAGCTCTCACGGCGCGGGTTCGACTCCCGGCATGGAAGTAATTTTTCAATGCACGTTGCAAGCATTTCATCGATGGAAAGCCAGAACAACCGTTCACGGGGTACAAGACCTTTCTTTATAAATTGCCGAATCTTTGCAATCTACCGATTTACAATTCGTTTTGTAGTAGGTGAATTTCCATTCCTGTTACAAACCTGTTTGTATCCCATATGGTCTGGTCCAGGATTCCTGGCTCTCACCCAGGCGCGGGTTCGACTCCGGCTGCAGAGACAAATTTTTCTAATGCGTGTCCATCGTTTCACGCTGAAAACGCTGTTAACAACGATCCATAACGTATAAGAACTTTTTTATGAAATTACCGAATCTGAGTTCTGCAATTTTAAAATTCGTTTTATGGAGTTGAGTACCATTTCCTGTTACAAAGCGGAGTTATATCCGTGGTCTAGCGGTCAGGATTCTGGCTCTCACCCAGGCGCAGGTTCGACTCGGCAGTGGGATATTTTTCTGATGCACGTTCTGCAAATCATTTCACGATGAAACTGTTAAAGCAACGTCAACATTGACAAGAACTTTTTTTAATAAAATTACCGAATCTTTGCAGTCTACCAATTTTCAGGGAATACGAGTGTAGAATAAATTTTCCTCCTTTCCTGTTTCAAAGCGTGTTTGTATCCCATGGTCATAGCGGTCCAGGATCTGGCTCTCACGCAGGCGGCCCGGTTGACCCGGCGTGGGAACAAATTTTTTTCTAATGCGTGTTCCATTCGTTTCAACGCTGAAAAACGCTGTTAAACAAACGGATGGTGTACAGACCTTTTTTTTTTTAATGTGCAAGAATCTTCAGTAGTCTACCGATTTTAGAATACCGATGTGCAAAATGCAAATTTTCCTTTCCTGTTTGCAAGCGTGTTTGTACCCAGTGAAATCTAGGTCCAGGATTCCTAGCTCACTCCACGGCGGTCTGTTCGACTCCCGGCGTGGGAATACATTCTTTTCTAATGCGGTTGCATACGTTTCAACGTTGAAAGTGCTAAACAAACTCATGAGGGGTATCAAGATCCTTTTTTTAATAAATTGCCGAATCTCAAGTAATCTACCATATTTTACAATCGCTTTGTGAGAGTTATGAATTTTCCTTCCTGTTAAAACAAAGCGTTGCACTGTATCCCATATGATTGCGGTCAGGATCTGGCTCCTCACCCAGGCGGCCCGGGTCTGGACTCCCGGCTTGGGAAGATAAATTTTCAATGCGTGTCAAGCGTTTCAACGTGGAAACGCTGCTTAAACAACACGCTGCCATGGTACAGAGACTTTTTTAATAAATTGTCCGATATCTGAAGCACCTCTACCGATTGTACAAATCTAGTTTTAGTAGTATTGAGAATTTTCCATTCCTGTTACAAAGCCTTGGGTTATGTGATCTCTTAAGCGGTCGGATTCTGGCTCTCACACCGGAGCGTCGCCCGATCATCCCTGGCATGGAACTAATTTTATTCTATGGTGTTCCATCGTTTCAACGCTGATAAAACGCTGTTAACCAAACGCCTTGAGGTAAGCAGACCATCTATAAATTACCAGAATCTAAGCAACTCTACCAATTTTAAAATCTGTTTGTGTGGGTTGAGAATTTTCCTTTACCATTACAAGCGTGCATTGATCCCATGGTCTAGCGGTCAGGATTCTGGCTCTACCCAGGCGGCCCAGGTCTCGACTCCCGGACATGGGTAAATTTTTCTAGATCGGTACATAGCAACGTTTAAAATCGTATGGAAACGTTGCTTAAACAACCGCTGACGAGTGCAAGCATCCTTTTCTTTTATACAAATTGCCGAATCTTACAGCTATCTACCGATTTACAATTGTTTTGTAGAGTATGGAATTTCCATTCCCTGTTACAAAGCTGTTTGTCCCATGTGGTCTAGCGGTCAGTTCCTGGCTACTCACCCAGGCGGACCCGTTCGACTCCCGCAGTGGAAGATAATTTTTTTCTAATGCGTCGTTCCATAACGTTTCAACGATTAGGAAACGCTGCTAAACAACCATGACGGGGCAAGACCTTTCTTTTTATAAATTGCCGAGATCTTAAGTCATCTCTATTTTACAAATTCGTTTGTAGAGTTGAAATTTCCTTCCATATTTACAAGCTGTTTCGTAATCCCATGATTGGCCTAGCGTAATTCCAAGTCTGGCTCTCGCAGGCGGCCCGGGTTCGACCCCGGCATGGGAGAATATATTTTTTATGTGCACGTTCATCCAGCATTTCAATCGATGTAGGAAACGCTGTTAAACAAACGTCCTTACGGGCGTAAAGACACTTTCTTTATAAATTGCCGAATTCAATAATCAGTCTACCGATTTTTAGAATACGTTGTGTAGAGCCGAATTTTCTAATTCCTGTTTTACAAAGCGGTGTTTGTTGTACCCTGTTGTCTAGCGATCAGGATCCTGAGCTCACACCAGGAGCGGCTCGACTCCCGGCATGGAAGTATTTTTATTCCTGGATGCATCGTTACAAGTATTTCATCGATGGAAACGCTGCTAACTAACTGTCTTGCGTACAAGAATTTCTTGTATAAATATGCCGAATCTTAAGCAGTCTACTGATTTGTACAATTGCCTTTGTAGGTTATTGGGAATTTCCATTCCTCACAAAGCCGGGTTTTAATACCCATGGTTTAAAGGGTAGATGCTTTCTCACCCAGCGGTTGCTCCGACTCTCGCGATGGAATAATTTTTTCTAAATGCGTGTTCATAACGTTTCTAACGTTGAAACGCTGTCTAAACAACGTCATAACTGTATAAGGGGTAACTTTCTATTTAATCCAAATTGCCGAATCTGGTAACAGTACTCATTTTACAATTCGTCTTTGTGAGAGTTGAGAATTCAAAATCTGTTACAAAGCTGTTTGTTCCCAGTGGGTCTAGAGGTGGTTTGACTCTGCTCACCCAGGCGATCGCGTCCGACTCCGGCGTTGTGGGATCCATAATTTTTCTACGCGTGCTTCCATTGTTTCAACTGAAAAGCTGTAAACAAACGTCCATAGCAAAAGCTAAAGAACTTTTTTTAATAAATTGCTGAACCGAATGCATCTACCGAATTTAGAAACGATTTTGTGAAAGGTGAGAATTTTCCTTTCCGTTTCAAAGCGTTACTGTATCCATATGAGTTCAGCGGTCAGGATTCTGTGCCTCACCAGGCGTGCCGGCTAGCCCCGGCGTGGAACGTAGAATTTTTCTAATGTACGTTCCATCTGCTTTCTAACGTTGAAAACGCTGTTAAACAAACGCATGAAGGGTAAATAGACTTTCTTTTAATAAATTGCCGAATCTGAAGCATCTACAGATTTTAAAATTCGTTTTGTGGAGTTGAGAATTTCCATTCTTTACAAATCGGGTTTTGTGTCCGTGTGGTCAGGCGAGGATTCCTGGCTCACCCAGGGACGGCCCAGGTCTGACCCCCGCGTGGAAGTAAATTTTTTCTAATGCACCAATGGCGTTTCAACGTGGAAACGCTGCTAAACAACTGACGGGGTACAAGACCTTTTATAAACTTGCCGAATCTTAAAGCAGTCTACACTTTTACAATTGCTTTCTGTAGAGTAATAGAATTTCCATTCCTGTTACAAAGCTTGTGTGTCCCATGTGTTAGCGTCAGGATTCCACAAGCTCTCACCAGGCGCCGGTTGACCACGGCACGTAGGAACTAATTTTTTCTAATGCGTGTCCATCTGCTTTCAATCAACGCTGAAAGTACCAAACTAAACTCCATAAGCGTATCAAGAACTTTTTTAAATAAATTGCCGAATCTGAAGCAATCAACAATTTAAAAATTGCTTTAGTGAGCGTTGAGAATTTTTCCTATTCCTGTTACAAGACGGAAGTTCTGTATCCCGTATGGTTCAAGCGGTCAGGACTTCCTGCTCACCAGGCGGCCCGGGTTCGACTCCCGCGGGAACTGTTTTTCTAATGCGTGTTCCATTCGTTTCAACGCAGTAAACCTGTTAAACAAACGTCCAGCGGGAACAAGAACTCTTTTTTTTATAAATTGCGAATCATAAGCTCTGCAATTGCTTGAAATTCTTTTGTGGGTTGAAATTTTCCTTTTCCTGTTACAAATCGTGTCTTGTCCAGGGTGTGTCTAGCGGTCCGTTCCGTCTCACCCAGGCGGCGGGTTCGACTCCCTGTCGGCTATCCGAGGGTAATTTTTCTTGAATGCGTTGCAAGCGTTATCACTTGGAAACGCTGTAGAACAGACATGCGGTGTACAAGACCTTTCTTTTATAAATGTGTAGATCTTAAGCAATCACCTGATTTTGCTTGTCTTTTTATGTAGTATTAGGGAATTTCCATCTGTTACAAACTGTTTGTTCCTCATGTGGTCTAGCGGTCAGGATTCCTGGCTCTCACCAAGGCGTCCCGGTTGACTCCCGGAGAGGAACTAAATTTTTTCTAATGCGTGTTCCATTCGTTTCAACGCTGAAAACGCTGTTCACAACGTCGATGGTGTACAAGACCTTTTTTTGTAATAAACTTGCCGATATACGTAATCTCTACCGATTTTAAATACG